ACCCTAAACCCTAAACCCTAAACCCTAAACCCTAAACCCTAAACCCTAAACCCTAAACCCTAAACCCTAAACCCTAAACCCTAAACCCTAAAACCTAACCCCTAAACCCTAAACCCTAAACCCTAAACCCTAAACCCTAAACCCTAAACCCTAAACCCTAAACCCTAAACCCTAAACCCTAAACCCTAAACCCTAAACCCTAAACCCTAAACCCTAAACCCTAAACACTAACCCTAAACCCTAAACCCTAAACCCTAAACCCTAAACCCTAAACCCTAAACCCTAAACCCTAAACCCTAAACCCTAAACCCTAAACCCTAAACCCTAAACCCTAAACCCTAAACCCTAAACCCTAAACCTAACCTCAGGGCGTACGTCGGGCCAAGCCCTCGAGCAACGTCCGCCATGCGCCACAAGGTTCACCAGAAGCAGCCGGCGATGGAAAACTCCAAAAAGAACTGACTCATCACCCTCGAACCCCAAACCCTAAACTCCAAACCCTAAACCCTAAACCCTAAACCCTAAACCCGCCTCTGCAGCCTAGAGAGTCGAGTCAAGCCTCCAGCAGACCGCCTGCCGCGTGAAGCCGTGAAAGCATCAGTCGCGGGCTGCGCCGTAAAACTGCGAGAGTGTAGGGTTTAGGGTTTAGGGTTTAGGGTTTAGGGTTTAGGGTTCAGGGTTCAGGGTTTAGGGTTTAGGGTTTAGGGTTTAGGGTTTAGGGTTTAGGGTATAGCGCAGACATGAATCAGGAACTCTAACTGCGAGGCCTTTTAGACATCTCAGACACTACAGCTACCATAAACCCTAGAACCCAAGCCTAAACCCTAAACCCTAAACCCTAAACCCTAAACCCTAAAACGAGGCCCTAGAACCCAAACCTAAACCTCCCAAGGCGGAGGCCTGCATATCCACACGCTGACTCCCCCGGAAAACTCCTACGGTTTAGGCTTTTAAGTTTGGTCGGTTTAGGGTTTAGGGTTTAGGGTTTTAGGGTTTAGGGTTTAGGGTTTTAGGGTTTAGGGTTTAGGGTTTAGGGTTTAGGGTTTAGGGCTAAGGGCTAAGGGCTAGGGGCTAAGGGCTGCTAGGGGCTAAGGGCTTAGGGCTAAGGGTTAAGGGTTTATGGTTTAGGGTTTTAACGGTTTAGGGTTTTTAGCAGTCCAAAGCGCAACTCGAGATCCTAACAAGCAAACAACCCCTGAGAGCTCTCCCTTCATTGCAGGCCTAGTTTCACTGAACTTAAAATCTTAATAAAGCCCTACAACCCCAAACCGCAAAACCTAAACCTCAACACCCTATATAAAACCCACCAATTAAGCCCTAAACCCCGAACATGGCCAAGACCAAAACCGCAAAACAACCCTAACATCCTACAACTCTGAACGCAAAACCCTAAAGCCCCCAACGCCCTAAACCCTACATACAACCCTAAACCTAAAACAACTACAACCCTAAACACCCCATCAACTGCAAAACCAGAGAGACCCTTGATCAGATGACTAAAAACAAGCTAAGCCCCCCCCCCCTCCCCACCAGAAATACGGCTTTGAGTTTAGGACATATCGAAAAATGAACCCTACACCTGACCCCTAAAACCCAAAACCCTAAACCCGAAAACCCACAACAAGCATCATGGGCCTTGATCCCTTCAAACGGAGCGCGTTTTGGGTGTTGGGTTGTGGCGTAACTCCTGGCTTGACTCTTAGGAGTGAGTGTTCAGGGTTGAGGGTTCTAGGGTGTAGGCGTAGGGTTTACTGTTTTGGGTTTAGGGACTCCCAAAGTCTCACACGGCTTGAGCCGAGGTTGTCTGGAGTGACAGAGGGTGGGGCTATGCCCCTCCACATTGAACGTCGCAAGTCTGCCCAGCGTACTTCGCCGTTTCAGGCTACATTAGGAACGCTAGAATGCTTCAATTCTGGTGAATCCTATGGCCCTGAGCCCTGAGACCTCCCCTACCTGGACCCTACACCCTGAAACCCTGAACCCTGAACCCTAAACCCTAAACCCTAAGCCCTAAACCCGAGGCCCTGGTGCCTCCCCTGAAACCCTGAACCCTAAACGGCTTTTGCTGGGAGCGGGGTCTTCAGGAAGAGTTCTTCAGGGTCAAACGACCTCTCTCAGTACAGGGCAAGCCGACAGCCCCTATATCCTAACCACTAAGCCGACAAGAACAGGTTATGTATGTATGTATGTATGTATGTATGCATGCATGTAGGCATGTACGTATGTATGTATGTATGCATATATATATACACACTCGACTGTACGGCTGCATAGGATGATCTTTGCGTAGCCCTAAACCCCAAACCCTGCACCTTAAACCCTATAGACCCCGAAGCCCTGGAGATGTCTTTGGGCGACGTGAGGGGGTGCGGAGGTGGATACATGCTCGGCTTCTTGCGTCACATAGGTTCTTGGGTATCAGCATTCAGTTGCGTTTAGGGTTTAGATTTAGGGTTTAGGGTTTAGGATTTAGGGTTTAGGGTTTAGGGTTTAGGGATACTCCATGACGAAGCACGTCTCAGTGGGCAATTGCGTGGGCGGTTTCCTGGGCAAGACAAGGGTCTGCACGCGAGCGCTTGCTACCACCTTCTTTCCCAAATACCCTACTATACCGCAAGCACCCTATGCGCCTAAGAGGTTTAGGGTTTAGGGCTTAGGGTTTAGGGTTTAGGGTTTACGGTTGCGGGTTTAGGGTCGTAGAACCACAAAAGCCCCGAATGAGGGAATCTAGGTTCAGGCCCCAAAGCCTGAAAAAAAAAAACGCCCCACCCCGCGGAAAGAGCCCCAAGGCTTATAGACGCTTCACGGTCCAGCCTGCAAACTAAACCTTGGTTTAAGGGTTTAGGGTTTAGGGTTTAGGGACCTGGGGCACACTGCTCCTTGAAATAGATGAGGCCGTTCTTTCACAAGGGCCCCCGAAAGTCCCAAGTGAAAATTCCAAGACATCAATAAAGTTATAGGGGATATAGGGGATATGGGAGGTGTTATCGGACTAAGAACTATAGGTTGGGATGGTGCCCCTTATACTAACAGTACTTAGTAGGGAATCCCCATTAAGGACTGCTAGTATAAGGGGGGAACATCCCCAGCTATAGGTTCTGACAGGGGCTTAGGGTGTGATAGTCTAAGGGGTTACCTTGGACCCTTTAGGTTGTACCCTTAGGTTTTGGGCTCCCTTTGAAGGATCCTTGAGGCAACATACGGGCCATATTAGGAGTATTAAGGGAACCTTCCGGGGTACAACCTTTCGGGTACGAGTCTTCATCCCTTGAGATGGGGTCCTAAACCCTAAACCCTAAACCCTAAACCCTAAACCCTAAACCCTAAACCCTAAACCCTAAACCCTAAACCCTAAACCCTAAACCCTCCCCCGTGCCTGGACGCTGTGAAGTCACAGGGCCGCTGACAGCGAATGAAGAAACCTGCACGCGGTAGCATAAACTTTAACCATAAACCCCTGAGCCCCAAACCCTAACTGGGCTTAGGGTTTAGGTTTCTTCTGAACCTATGAAAACCGAGTCCCAAGCTGAAGCCCTGACAAGCCTACATCCTGAACCCCAAAAAGTCGGATCTCTCTATAAATTAAGGTATATTGCTTAATTAAGGTGTATTGGGCTCTTTGGGAACTCGAATGGAGCCTACATTGTCCTAAACTCATGGGTTCAACTACTACCCCTCCCCCGCCTAGGTTCCCCCCCATAAGTAAGGCTATTTACCATGTAGGGATGATAAGTAAGTCTAATTAAGGTTAACCTGGGGGGGGGGGGTAGTATAGAGGGGGGTAGTAGGGAAACCCTGAACCCTAAACCCTAAACCCTAAACCCTAAACCCTAAACCCTAAACCCTAAGATAGACCCTTTTGGATCCTAAGTCCGAAAAAACCCAAACCCCCCCGCCTTGGCAGGCCGGCACGGAAGATGGCCCGGGAATGACACGCACGCAGCGACGGCTTATCAGACCGGTTCAGGGTTGGGTTTTGGGGTTTGGGGTTTTAGGGTTAGGGCTTAGGGCTTATAGGGCTTAGGGCTTAGGGTTTGGGGTTTGGGGTTTGGGGTTTAGGGTTTAGGGTTTGGGGTTTAGGGTTCAGGGTTAGGGTTTAGGATTTAGGGTTTAGAGGGTGCAGAGGGTTCAGGGTTCAGGTTTTTGGCTTGGGGTTTAGGGTTTCGGGGTTTATTATTCCTACTACTACTACCACGGCCACTACTCGAAGTTGAAGGGTTTGGGGGGTAGAGTTGGTTTAGGGTTTAGGGTTTAGGGTTTAGGGTTTAGGGTTTAGGGTTTAGGGTTTAGGGTTTGGGGTTTGGGGTTTGGGGTTTGGGGTTTGGGGTTTGGGGTTTGGGGTTTGGGGTTTGGGGTTTGGGGCTTAGGCCAGGCGATCCTATGAACCCTAAAGGAGCCCAGGGGGCTTAGGGTTTGGTGAGTTCAGGGTTTAGGGGGTAGAGTTGGTTTAGGGTTTAGGGTTTAGGGTTTAGGGTTTAGGGTTTAGGGTTTAGGGTTTAGGGTTTAGGGTTTAGGGTTTAGGGGTTTGGGTTTAGGGTTTCGGGCTATAGGGGTTCAGGATGGAGGGGGGTTTCCGTTTTAGACCCTTGACCCGATGTCCCAACTGGAAGAAGACCCCCCTTAAACCTAACGTCGCTGAGGCTCAGAATGACAGTCTTGAGAAATCGGGGTCCCGGGGTCCGATTTAAGTAATCCATCCGAAACCCTAAAGACCAGACCCCAAAACCCTAAACCCGAAACCCTGAACCCTACTTGGGAAATCCCGAAACTCCCAGACACCTCCCATCATCTTATGGTCTGTGGGCCCCCCAACCCCTCAGAGCCTAAGGGCTTGGAGCAAAAGAAACTCCTAAGAAGGGTCTTAGGGTTGATAAGGAACTTGGGTTCCGTTTTAGGTTTTCAGGTTTAGGGTTTAGGGCGTAGGGTTTCGGGTTTGTGGCTTAGGGCTTCGGTCTTGCGAGGTCTGATACGCCGTCCAGAAAACGGAAGCGCGCGGCGAGTCATTTCCTGACTGGCGCAGGCATAGATGGGTTTAGGCTTCACAAGGTAGCTTCCGGAGATTCGGGTCCCCCCTACACAAGCCGCCCCAAAAAAACGTAACCCTAAACACTAAACCCTAAATCCTAAATCCTAATTCCTAAATCCTAAACCCTAAATCCTAAGCCCTAAACCCTAAACCCTAAACCCTAAACCCTGAGGTTGCGGCAAGCTGGTAGGCCATGCTTTCAGGCGTGTGGAATTCTAGCGCGCTAAACTAGCAGGTTGGGCTTCAGCATGCAGGTGTAGGGCCTAGGTCTTATGGGTTTAGGGTTTAGGGTTTTAGGTCATAGGGTTTCGGATAAACATTCATCTTGGTGGAGTGGACATCCGCGATTGGGGTTGGGGATTTGGCGGAGTGGACTTCGGGAATTGGCATAAAGTTTAAGCCTAAACCCTAAATCCTGACCCAAAAGTTAATTGGCGGAATTTCGTGGGAAAGGATCGAAGCGACAATCTTCGCGCTACACAGGGGTACCTACCAAGTATGAGGGTTTCCTACAGTAGGAGAACTTCTACACGACTCAAAACACTCCTCACACTTTCATCGGTCTCCCTACTTTTTGGAAACTTCCCCCCCCCCCCCCCATATTGACAATCGGCTGGGATGCCTGGCTGGTAGACTTGGGAAATTTGAAGCGGCATGCCTTGCAACCGTATACGCAGGTTGCTTTCTTCCAAAGCCGGAAAATTCTATGTAAAAGTCCCAAGGTTTTGCCGCTTAGGGCAACAACCCTAAATCCCCAAACCCCCTGTACCATTCTTGGTCTAGGCCTGTCCGTGGTGGGTCACCGTCTGGCGTGCTGGGTTTTTATCTTCACCCTAAGCGTCCATGTACCTCGGTACTATATACTCGGGGTCCAAAGTCCCGAAAGAAGTACTTTAAGACCCAGGTATTCCGTTGCATTGGCATGGACCCTTTGGGACAGTCCGGTAAGCACTTACACCTGTAAACCCTGAACCCTAACCCCTAAACCCTAACCCCTAAACCCGAAACCCTGAACCCTAATGGCCACATGGAAGCGAAAGCCCGAAGTCCGAAGTCTTCAAGCCCTTGCGCGGTCATGGCTCACATTTCTGAAGGACCAAGTGACCGTAAAAGGGTTTATGGTTCATGTACCCCAATAGGGCTTACAATAGTATAGGGTGTATGGTCCCAATCTTAGGCCTAGGGCCTGGGGTTCGTTTTGGTTCCCAAGGCTCTTGTACCCTCGACTTACACATGTCACAGTCGTCCAGTCTTCATCCTGTGCGTACCATGCAGTGAGTGCAGCGGCGCATACGACCATGTTGCTATTTGCTAGTCTGAAGCAACTCTTTTTCAGGCCCATCGAACTTCCACAATATCCCTAAACCCTAAACCCTAAACCCTAAACGTTATGACCTCCGTAATGGGATTTCATAGACGAAGAAGGTCGCACACTTCCTCGGCTGTCAACAAATGAGTCCTACGACCCTCGAGTTGCCTCTGAGCCCCGATCTTTTTGGGGCTGGTTTATAGGGTATAGGGTATAGGGTCTCATACCGTTTAGTAAAGTGTGTGGCTGAGGGCCTTGGGTCAGGATTGCCACGGCTTTCGCGAGCTTAGCAGCTACTCCTTTGATGAACCCACCATGGCGACCAACGACGCGGGAGAGCGAGACATCGACTCCCCTCACCCTAACGGTTTAGGATTAGGGTTTAGGGTTTGTGGTATAAGGTTTAGGGTTGAGTGTTTAGGGCTTAGGGTTTAAGGGCCTGTATATAATAAATAAATAAATATAAATAAATATAAATATATATATATATGTATATATTTCTAATTTATATAGTGTAAGAGGTTTGGGAGGGTTAAGGGCTTGCCCTAAGGGTCCATGGTCCGTAAGAAGGGACTACTTGGGCCTTGAAGTGCTTCCTGTCAGGGGCCTTGGGGCCCAAGTAATTATATAATAATGAGGTACATGGACCCTAGGGTTCAGGGTTGAGGCGAATCAGAGCCCTAAACCGGAGGAGCCCTCAAACCCTACACCCTTAAAAGCGCGAAAGGCCCTAAACGCAACAGAAGCTGAAGTAGCGATGTGTCTTGAAGGATCAAACCGAATCCCTGAGTAAAGACCTGTGCCCTTAAACCCTGAACCCTGAACCCTAAACCTAAACACTCAGGTCCTAAAGCCGGGGCCTCTTGAGGTGGCGCTCGAGCAGCTCCTGCGAGGGATCCATTGACCCCTGCTTTGAGGGTTTGGGGTTTAGGGTTTGGGGTTGGGGGTTTAGGGTTTCAGGGTTGGGGTTTAGAGCTTAGGGTTCAGGGTCCAGGGCTTAGGTTTTTGTTGTCTTCGGGTAATTGCATGGTCCCTTAAGCATGGGCTCTTTAGAGGGGGACCCCTTGTATGCCTGAAAGGAGGTAAGGGACCATACTAAGGGACCATGTAACTGCCCTTAGATTAGGGTTTCGGTCCTAGGTGTTTGGGTGCCCCACCCGACAGGTGGGGCAGCATCATGAACTAGGAGCCTCAACTTGGGCCTAGGTGCTTAGGGATTAGGGCTTAGGATTTAGGGCATCACTCTACCAACGCAAGCTGCCAATTTCTTGCGGGACTTGGGTTCCTTTGGGTTATGTTTTGAGGGGTTTTTAAGGTTTCAGTATTCGTGGGGCTTCTCTAGTGGTCAGGTATTTTAAAAGGGCTTTATGGGGCTTGCTTTGGAAAGCCTAGAACTGTTATATTTTTTCTTCTTCTATTTCGCATGTTTCCTAAGTCTTGTTTGACCCGGCCCTAAACCCTGAACTTTAAGCCCTACACTCATAAACCGCTTTTTTGGGACCTTGTAATTTAAGGGTGGGTTTACGGCCCTCCCTGTTCAGGCCGAAGTTGGGGCAGGAAATCGAACGCGTCGCGCATGCAGAAAATGCCGATATTTTCTGCTTTTTCACAATTGCTTGGATGATGCGGAACACGGAACATGCAGGCCACTTTTTGTCAGTCTTCTCTACGACTCAGTCTTCTCGACGGCTCAGTCTTCTCTGCAATTCAGTCTTCTCTAGATTGGTTTCAGAAGTTGGGGCTGCAGCTTACTATGTACACGTTATGTGCAAGGACTCATTACTGTATGCTCGTGCTTGCTCATTCATCGGACTCCACGAGCAAGTGCCACCTGCAGCTTTTCGTGCTCTCACCTTTCCTTGGGCAGCCTGCTGTAGAAACTCATCAGAAAGGCAAGTTGCAAAACAATTGTTTGCTTCTGGTCGTCTGTAGCTAGATTGCCCAGTAACCTAGGATTAAAAAGGGTACCCTTTTTTGCGTAAAGGTGTTTATAAGGAAGCCTAAACCCCCAAAAAGGGAATAAGGGCACTACTGGGCATCCTAGTTAGGGTTTAGGAACGCCAAAACGAAGGTGGATGCCTAAAAGGGCCGCACGTTCGATGAACCCACAAGTGGTCCATCGAAGGTCGACGAACCATTTTGGGTTCCAGAGGGTTCGACCAGTTTCCATAAACCCTAAACCCTAAACCCTCAACCCTAAACCCTATAAACCCGAAACCCTAAACCCACGGTATCTGGTAAGATGATGAATGAAAACAAGACTTTGTGTCCGTGTCGAAGTCCAAAGTCCGACTTTGGGGACATGTATTGTGCTACAAAAAATCTTAAAAACAAGAACACGTCAACATAGTTTATCTGGTTTTACACGAGCCAGAACACCATAGAATCTTCAACTAATTTTATTGAAAGGAAACGTCCGTCAACATCTATGGTTTGTTCTGACCTGTGCTTGACCAAGTCTATGAAAAAAAAAGAGAGAATTTAGTTCAGTTTGCAGAAGCACAAAGTTGTCATGACACGAAGGCTCCGCAACTGTGTCAAGTTCGAAGCTGCTGAGATCCTGCCTGAGACAGAAATCCTACGAACCCCCATAAACCCCAAAAAGTTCGACCAAGGCGGTAGGATTTAGGGATGCTTGGGCAAAAGCACGGAGACCCTTATCCCCAAAACCCGAACCCTAAACCCTGTCTTCAACTCTGAACCCCTGAGCCCTAGACCCCTAAACCCTAAACCTTTGGATGTTCCCCCCGGGATTAGAATAGGGGGTGCTCGAATCCCATTAAAGACTGTTCGTATAAGGGGGAACACCCCAACTAATTAGCCTAAACCCCTAAACCCTTCATGCCCCCCCAAAAACTGGAGCCCTCCCGAAACCCTAAAAAACCCTAAACCCTAAACCCCTAACCCTACCTGCGTCGCATAGCCCGTCTCTTGGACGACAGAGACTTTGCTGCTGGCGGTCGTGGAACCAAACTCGGATGGCTTGGAGGGGTTTGGGGGTAACCCGTGTTTAGGGTCTAAGTCCTGAACACTTGAACCCTATAAACTTTAAACCCTAGAAGCCTTCAACCCCAGATTCTGAACCGTAAACCCTAAAACCCTTAAACCCTCAACTCTAAACCCGAAACACTAAGCCCCTAACCCCTGAACCTTCCCTATCCTCATAACAGCACACTAGGCTTGCATTCGATGGTCTATACACCCTAAACCAGAAGCCCCTTGAGGATTTAGGGTTCAGGGTTTGCCCCAAGCCCTGAGCCCTAAACCCTAAACAAAGAGCCCCGTGAGATGGTGTTGGTGAGCCTTCAGTACCCCTAACCTGTCTTATCTTGTTGCGCAACTTCCCTACAGCCCATTGTCTTAGGGTAGTTAGATGGTCCCTAAATATGGGCGCCTAGATGGGGGAGCCCTTCTATACCCCTTATATACCCTGTACAACGCAAGGGCCCATACTTCAGAACCCTTTAGCGGAGATAAGGGATGATATTTAGGGACCATGTACCGTAGCTACCCCAAGATATCGTGCCGACACATGCCCCAAGCACACTCGAATTCTCTAGGCCCATCAGTTGAGCCACCCCTATTCTGGGGTTGATGTTGGGAATGTCTACAGGTTGTAGATGGTTTTTTTTTTGGGATGGGTGTTTGGGATGGGTTTTAGGGATGGTAGACATTAACAACTACTTCGAGGTCAATCCCCATGATAGAGGGTTATACGGCCCTGAATTGCCAGTAGGTTCGGTGCATTTAAGGGTCATGCAACCCTACACCCTAAACCCTAAACCCTAAACTCTAAACCCTAAACCCTATTCAGGCACCGAAGCTGCACTCAGGGCATATCAGACAAGACGCAAGAGTGACCTAGGAATCAAAAGGGTGCCCCCTTCTTTGCTTAAAGGTGTCGAATGGGGGAACCTAATCCCCAACACTGGTCTCGGGCTCTCGAACCCTACCCCCCCCATCATCATTGTAATCCCCCATTCAAGGTATGCCCCCCCACCCACCATGGCATCTGGCCGGCCCCTCCCCCCAACCCCTGCCAAGCCTTAAACCAACCTTAAACCTCACACCTTTGACCTAAACCGCAAACCTTCAACCCCAAACGCCAACCCCTCATGCACAGCACAGACAGGGGGGCTAAACCTTAAACCCTAAACTTATGTAACCCCTAAACCTTAAACCTTAAACCCTAAACTCCCCAAACACACCCACACCACAGGGCAGGGCCGTGGGCCTCAACCCCAAATCCTGACCCCAACCCCCCAATCACACCCCGGGCCTAAACCTTAGACCCTAAACCCTGGATCAGGATCCAAGGGAGGATGGGGGGGATACCATGGGGGTTGGGGGGGGGGGGAGGGGTGGCAGCCCGACACCACATATTCTCTGGGTCCTCGTAGAAGGTGCCAGAATCTGAACCCTGAAAAAGGGGAATAAGGGCCTACTCTTAGACGGTAGTCGGGGGTCTTCTGGCAAAACCTGCTCTTAGAAGGTAATTCCGAGGGGATGAAAAGGGTTCAGGGCTTATGAGGCACGCAGCCCAGGCCTTCACAAAAATGGTTTAGGGTTTATGGTTTGGGGTTTAGGGTTTAGGGTTTAGGGTTTAGTTTATGTTTTAGGGTTTAGGGTCCGCCGACCCTGGCGGGGGAAAAGGAGGTGAAAACCTCCCTCTTTCCCTCCTTACCCCCCCAAAACGCGGGGGGGGTTTCCATGGAGGGCCAGGCCACCCACACCGCACAAACCCACGGACCACAGGCGGTTTTGTGCAGGATAAAAAAAACCCGCCCGCACACCCCCTCCTACCCCCCCCCCCCCCCTACCCCCGCCCAACCCCCCCCCTACCCCCCCCCTAACCCCCCCTACCAATTGATGGGGCTGCCCTGGCAACGTTTCACAGAGGCTCAAGCACATCAACTTTTTTGGCATCCTTTGAGCTGACGAGCGCGTTTAAACCTTTCAACTATGCTCCAGCGGGGTCGGCGGCTTGAGCCGGAGGCTCTTAAATTTAGGGTTCGGGGCTTAGGGTTTAGGATTTTGGTCCGTGAGTCCCTGCACCGCACAGGATTTCTGCAATGCCCCTTCTGAAGGTGCTCCCTAAACCCTAAACCCTAAACCCTAAACCCTAAACCCTAAACCCTAAACCCTAAACCCTGCTGTTCAGGTGGTTTTTTCCTGCTCATTTCTTCTGCCCCCTGCGTGGCAAAAAAAGTCTGAGAATCTGTTGTTTCGTTATCATCCCGCGAGCCTGTCCCATCAACAAAAAGCCTACACGTATGTATATACATAAAGGACTCCTAGTTGTCCAGTAACCTGGGGGAATTCAAGGTTAACCTTTGGGATTGTAAGGGGATTATACTACCCCAAAAGGGTTAAAGGTTACCTACTCTACTACTAGGGGACTTAAGCTTTGGCTCATTCATTCGGTGTTAAAGTTCCCAGATCCTAGGATGCTGGTGGCCAAAAATGCTGGCCAGCGGCGCCAGGGGACGAGTACTTCGGCGTCGGGGCAACTGCAGGGAGAGGGGAAAGGGGTTTAGGGTTTAGGGGTTTAGGGTTCAAGCCATGGGTTCATAAAGAACTTTGAAGCCATGTAGGGTTTAGGGTTGATGGTTCAATTGGGGTTGAGGGTATAATTGAGTGGGGTTTAGGGTTTTAGGGTTTGAACTGTCAGCAAATTTAGGGTTGAGGGTTTTGTTGGTGTTGAGGTTTAGCCACTTAAGACCTTGAACCCTAAACCCTAAACCCTAAACCCCAAACCCTAAACCCTAAACTCTGAACCCTAAGGTTGGGGTCTGGAAGAGTGGAGTTTATTGGGCACCTGTTCGGGCTTCGTTAGGGCGCCCAATGGTTGTAAGGCTAAGGCGTTAAGGGGTTTAGGGGATTAGGGGATTAGGGGTTTCGAGGATGGCCCTTGGCCAATAGGGTTTAGGGTTTAGGGTTTCGGGTTTCGGGTTTCGGGTTTCCCGATCTCTTACCGAGAAAGAGGGGAACCCTAGTTCTAAGTCGTGGTATGAGGTCTTATGAGGGCCCTAAAGTGGGTTCTCGGTATGAGAACTTCAGATAGAGCCCCCCTTAAGAATGAAGCCTTAGCCCGAACTCCTAAACCCTACAAAGAAAGGACGCCTTCTCCTAAACCCTGAAGCCTAAACCTAAACCCTTGTAATTGGGGACCAATTGCACGAAACCCTGCACAAGATGACAGGGGCCATTGTCTAGAAGGGTCAGGAGTGCGCACCCTGAACCGTTTTGGTTTCGGGTTTAGGGTTTAGGGTTTAAGGTTTGGGGAAGCCTTTCAAAGCTGCAGCCATCTGGGTATTTCATATGGGGTTCGGAATAGCTACTAACAGTATTCCCCTATGGTCCCCATATAACTATACGACTAGAAGCCCAAAACCCGACTCTAACTAGTAAGGTCCCTACAGTCCGCGTTGGGACGCGTTTGAAACCCTGAAGGCCCAAAAAGCCCTACGCCCAACTTAAGCCCCTCAACCCTGAAGCCCTAAACCCTAGGTTGAAACTCCAAACCACATGAACTCTAAGCTCAGGATTTACGGCCGCTACACCCTAAACCCTAAACCCCCCAAACCCCCCAACTCGAGCAGACCCCACCGCGCCTGGGCCAAGCAGGCTGGGGATAGATGAATGGCCTGAGGCAACGAAGGGAGGCAACGAAGGGAGTAAAGGGCGTCCCCTACGGGACTTCTAGGGATGATGAAGGTTGTGAGGGTTTAGGGTTTAGGGTTTAGGGTTCAGGGCTGAGGGTGTAAGGGCTTGAGGGTTTCAGGCTTAAGGCTGGAAGTGTAAATCCTTAATTCGGGTGTCTCGGGCGGAGGCGGTGTACCTATATCGGGAGCCTGGGAGTATTAGGGTTTAGGGTTTAGGGTTTAGGGTTTAGGGCTTACGGACTGCCGGGTTACCTCATCCGCTGGGTATGCTGCAGTGTCACACTGACACCAAGTGATGCTAGGACGGACTGGCCGGGGCAATGACTCCTAAACCCTAAGTTTTAGGGCTTTCGGGGTTTTAGGCTTCCAGGTTTTAGGGTCTTAGGGCTTGCAGAGTTTGAGGGATTTCGGTTTCCAGGGTTTTTGGCTTTAGAGTAGGCATTGCCAGAAACAAAAATGCTGATTTGCCGCTCTCTTACTGCTGCTTAGGCACCCCATATCCCCCTATATACACCCTTTGAGAGATTGTACAGGGTACCTCATTCCTCTCAAGCCTAAACCCTAAACCCTAAATCCCAAACCCTAAACCCTAAACCCTCTGAAACCCTGAACTCTAATCCTGGAGGGCCCTCGATGAACACGCACCTAAGGTCTAGGGCTTAGGGTTGGGTGTCCACATGCGCAAGAGAGTGGGAGAGAGGACGAAGAAGGCGAGAGAGGGAGATGTAGGTACAGAGAGGAGGGAGAGAGGGCGGGGGAGAGGGTTTAGGGTTAACCTAAACACGAAACCCTAAACCCTAAACCCTAAACCCCAGACCCTGAACCCTAAGTTCAACCCAGAACCTCACAACTACCGCGCCTTGCCGCACGGCTGAAAAGGGCGCCAGTGGCATCTAAGAGTGGCGGGGAGGGGGGGGGTAGGGTCTAGGTTTAGGGTTTGGAGTCTAGGGTTCAGGGTGTCCTAGTTTGGTTATTGATTTTTCGTATATGAAAATTGCTCTTATAGCTTGCTTGTTTTTGATGGTATTATGAGAGGTCCCTAAACCCTAAACCCCAAACCCAAAACCTCAAACCCTAAACCCGATGGTTCGCTATCTTCACCTTGCGCACCGTCACCACAGCCTCCATTCTGCCAAAGTACAACACTAAACCCAAAACCACTTGAGAACTAGACCCAGGAGTAACCTAGGGTTTAGGGTTTAGGGTGTAGGGTTTGGGGTTTAGGGCCACCCAGGAGTAACCTAGGAATAGAAAGGGTGCCCTTTTAGATTTTCAGAGGATTATAAGGGAACCTCAACCTTAAAAGAAGGGAATAAGGGCCTACTCCAGGTCCTAGATAAACATCGGAAGCAAAGGGAGTGAAGACAGTTGCTTGGTTTCCCAGTGACCTTTGTGCAAGACGTTGGTTACTGTTGTTTTTTATAAAGGAGCCCAAAATCAAAGAAAGTGCAAAAGGGTCCGACACACTAAGCCCTACAGCCCCCCAAGGGCAAAGGGGTTACCTCTGGGCTACCTAAACCCTAAACCCTAAAGCCTACGGAGGTTAGGTGCCGGGCGGACGATGAACTGGAAGACGCGACCGATTCCACTGTCGAACCTCAGGCGTTGTACCCTAAGTGCTCTTGGAGATTCTAGGGCTTGGGGCTAAACCCTAAACCCTACACCCTAAACCCTAAACCCTGGGTATGTTTGGAGTTTAGGGTTTAGGGTTGAGGGTTTAGAAAGCATGGGCAGGGATTAGGCTTACATAGGGGAGTTTGGAGTTTGCAGGGCGTAGGGTCTGTTGCGGTTTGGGGTATCAGGGGGTTTAAGGTTTAGGCTCTTATAGGGTGTTTTGGGGGGTTTGCTGCTCATGGGATCATTTTGAATGCCCCGCAACCCTCCTAACCCTGAAGGCTAACTTGGGATTTTGAGGGTTTAGGGACTTCATACATGAACCGGAAGCCCTGACAACCCTAAACCCGGTAATGAGAAGCGTGAAGGACGTCAGGGTACGGATCTGGGGTTCCCAGAAGGTAAACAGGAGAGCTTCGGGCTTACATGCAGAGTTTAGGGTTTAGGGTTAGGGTTTAGGGTTTGGGGTTTAGGGTTTAGGGTTTAGGGTTTAGGGTTTAGGGTTTAGGGTTTAGGGTTTAGGGTTTAGGGTTTAGGGTTTAGGGTTTAGGGTTTAGGGTTTAGGGTTTAGGGTTTAGGGTGTAGGGTTTAGGGTTTAGGGTTTAGGGTTTGAGGTTTCGGGCTTAGATGCTTCAGGGGCTGAATTAGGGGCCTCGTTCAGAACTGGTGCTTGGGGTTCAAGGGCCATCGTGTGGTCACTGCTCTAGAGGATGCTCCCTTCTTAGGATCACTCGTTTGTAGAGAACTCCCTAAACCCTAAACCCTAAACCCTAAACCCTAAACCCTAAACCCTAAACCCTAAACCCTAAACCCTAAACCCTAAACCCTAAACCCTGACCATGTTGCTAACTGTCTTCGCAAGGCGCCTGTAGATGGTCTAGACTTTGGCTAATCAGTCAGGAGTTTCGGGTGCTAAGGTTATGGGTTTTAGGGCTTAGGACCCACGTGGGCTTCAGTCCGGGGCTTCCAAAGACTCCAAACCCTAAACCCATAAACCCCTAAACCCCCAAACCCCTAAACCCTAAACCCCTAAACCCCTAGACCCCCAGACCCCCAGACCCCTAGACCCCTAAACCCTAAACCCCTAAACCCCTAAACCCCTAAACCCCTAAACCCCTAAACCCCTAAACCCCTAAACCCCTAAACCCCTAAACCCCTAAACCCCTAAACCCCTAAACCCCTAAACCCCTAAACCCCTAAACCCCTAACGCCTAAACCCCTAAACCCTAGCCAAAAAACACTAGAGACCAAAATCCCCAATGAGCCGAGCCACCACTGCGCGTTAAGTCTCGTCCGCCCTGGGCTAACTCCTACGTAGGGAAATGAATCTCTAAGCCACATGGCTTATATAGGGTTTAGGGTTTAGGGGGGTTTCCGGAAATAAGGTACCTTCGTGGGGTCCTTACTAGAAGGGAATTCTACTATTTGGAGGGTCTATTCGCGTGCCTAAACCCAGCGCTGAGAGAATGGCGCAAGTCCCCCGGAAGAAGGGGGGGAATTGGAAGCACAGCAGGGTAAGCCGATGTATATTGTTGCCAGGAGCCTCAAAAGCAGCAACACCTTAACGTGAATCCTAAACCATAGATGCCCTACTTGGAGGTTCGTGGTACTTATCAGAAAAAGCCCCTTAAGCGCCCTAATAAGGTTATAAGTACAGTTGTAAGTACAGGTATAATTGGCTAAAAGGTACCATGAACCTCTAAGTACGAATGTAAACGCTGCTCCATGAGGTCTATGTACCCTAGATTTGCGGCTTCAGGACCCCTGGGTTTAGGGTTTAGGGCTTAGGGTTTAGGGTTTAGGGTTTAAGGCTTCAGGGTTAGGATGATTAGGTACGTGGAACCACTATTAATAGTATTATAAGGGAGTTTACGGACGCATGAATACTATTAATAGGGGCTTATGGGTGAACGAAACATGAACGGCCAAGTGCTCAGGGTCTTATTGTTAGGCCGTTGGTTTCCTCGTAATCAAGGATGACTCAGTTTCTGAGAGACGAGGGTAGTGACAGTGAGGAAGTCATTACACCGCTCATGCTGGACGGAACTTACCTGTCAAGGAATTTTGCTACCTTAGGACCTTTCCTAACCTTACAGCCGCCGTGTGCAAAAGACCCCCAAAGTTAGGTATTTTATAGGGGTTTTCGTGCACTCACTTCGTTCACTTACAAAACCCCCATAAAATATACTAAATTTAGTGCTTTTGGTACGTCCTTAGGGATGAGTCTATGAACTGGCCCGTGTACCCTCTTAATAATAGTACGAACGAAGGTAATAAAGGCACGCTTCGTTCGTAATATTATTATAGGGGCATAAAGGACGTACATTATAAGCCCCACTATAATAATACGGGCCTTACGTTCACTTCATGCATTCTTTATAAGTGAACTGGCCCGTAGTATTATAATTGTAGGGGCTTTTAATGAGTCCTTTAATGCGGTAACTTGTCAATGGTGGTTTTCGTTTACTTGTAATTGCATTCGCTTCACGGTATTAAAGGAGTGAAGGAAAAGAATGCAACGGAAAGAAGTGAATAGGTGAATGAACGTAGTGAGTGTACTTCGTTCCCCCAATATTATAATTAACGCGTTCACATGTTCACTTATAATTATAATATTGAGTTCTCTTGTTTCGTTCGCAAATTCAATTCACTTCGTGCGTAAACTTACAAGTGCATTTAATATGCTCTCTACACTTTATTATTAACAGTATTACCGTGAGGAGAAGATATAGAGATAGCAGTCATGTTCACTGCGGTCACGAGGTTGGCTTTTGCATGACAGGGCTTATGGTTACGGCCCTATTAACGGTTAGCCTGTGAATAATAGGGGCTCCAAAGACGGGCTAGCTTGTGAATGAACTCAATTAATGCGGTAATACTAGTAACTAGTATGAAGAGAGCAACCAACACCCCAAAATACCTAAAATTACTGGGTCTTGTGGCATTACACTCACTACGTTCTTTATGTCCGCACGAACCGCATTTATAGTGTAAGCAATGGGCAATGAACACGGTTTTTGCGCGTTGCGTTCGCATGAAGAGTGAATAGAATGCTTTTAATGCACAAAAACCTTACAATATTTAACTTCTGATCAAAGAATAATACTAATATTACCTAGCGAGCAAAGAACAGTGTGAGCGCAGTAAGAACAATCATAATATGCCCATGGAATAACACTGTAGATGAAAATAGCGAGCCAAGAGCAACCATTCATGCGCCCAAGATCCAGGATTTTGGTATTTTTGGTCTTGTTCATTGCGTTCTCTCCTCACTTTATTCGTTTGTTCACTTCACTCACTATTTTTTAATCAAAGGTGAAGAGAATACACGCGCCATTGCAATATTAATAGCTGTTATAATATAGGCGCGGATATATTATATAAAGTGTAGAAAAAGAGCTCTCTCATCCAGTACTTTCCAGGGGTGTTCATTTCGTTCATTAAAATCGCACGGCATTCATGCGTCTTTTCATTCCGGAGAATCCCGTGTGAATATACTTCTCTTGATCTTAACACACCATTAGAAGACTGTTGTGCAAAGGATGACACAATAGATGACTGGTGGATTTCAATGATATGGACGTACCACAAGCCTGTTATTAATGCATCCCGGTGGTCACCTTCAAGCCCCAGCGAAACACACCATTATAATTCCAACCTCGGTGAACAAAGGAGAGAATGAATAAACTTCGTGAAGATATGAACAGTGAATACGAATTTATGATGTGCATTTGTTGCGTTCATGAATTATAATCTTATGAGCGAATGAGCGATGTGAATGAAATAAATTCGCAACCATTACAGTTTTTGGGCTTTTTGATTGGAAAATTATAATGAAATGGATTAAAAAGCCCAAAAGATATGTACGAAATGAGTGTAATGGTGAAAGAATATACGAAGAGAATATATTAAATGCATGAATTCTCTACGGATTATATGGAATGAATACAGTGAGCGCATGACATGCCATTAATAATATTGCATTGTATTGAACGAATGCAGCAAATTCACTTGTTTCGGGGATTCACGCGTTTGCTACACTTTATTAGCGCTACCCGGATGCCTACGTGGACGATTACAACCCCTGGAAGAGCATTCTACGGGGAGGGCGGGGGGGCTAGAGGGCTTCTAAAGGGCTTAGGGTTACATACCATGTTAGGGCCTTTACGAGTAAACACCTCGGGCATCTCCAGTGTGGTCCATGCCCAGTGGCGGCGATAGTCGAAGAGGTAACGCTTCTTAGCGTGGTAGTTGCTGAACAGGCCGCGCACAAAAGGCGTCTAGCAGCACGGCGAAGCCCACCATGAAGCTCACAGCCGAGTCATTTCCTGAATCTTCTGAGAATCTGCAGCGATTACATATTATAACGAGTATTATAGTTTAGGGTTCGGGCTGCGGGTTTTGGGCTTAGGCCTCAGAGATGATGTAGGGTTTCAGGGCTTTAGGGATGTAGGATTTCGGAATTTGAGCGTTAGGGGTTTAGGGTTTACGGCTGAAGGGCTGCTAGGATTTTAAGTTCAAGGGTCCCTAAAAGGAGGCCTGGTACATCCCCGTGATTCAATCCTACGCTGAAGCCCCAGACCACCCTAAACCATAAACCCCTACATCCCTGAATTCCTGAAACCCTAAACCCCGAAAGCCCTAAACCTTTCATTGCTTAATCCGAATAGGAAATCCCGAAACCGTGCTCCGTATTCCCTAAACCCCAAATTTCCTCCTTGAACCCCACAGTCCAGCAAAATCTCAAACCCCTAAACCCTAAACTCTAAACTCTAAACCCTAAACCCTAAACCCTCAACCTAAACCCTAGACCCTAGACCCTAGACCCTAGACCCTAAACCCTAAACCCTAAACCCTAAACCCTAAACCCTAAACCCTCAACCCTAAACCCTAAACCACAACCCCTGAACCTGAACCCCACGCCCCCTGGTTCTTAAGGTTCTCGAACCCCCCCCCCAGCTGAGGCGGGCGCACTCAGGCTGTGCCTGTCGCAGCTGCATGTCAGGGTTTAGGGTTTAGGGTTTAGGGTTTAGGGTTTAGGGGTTTAGGGGTTTAGGGGTTTAGGGGTTTAGGGGTTTACGGGTTTAGGGGTTTAGGGGTTTAGGGGTTTAGGTGTTTAGGTGTTTAGGGTTTGGGGGATGAGGGGTTTAGGGTTTAGGGTTTGAGGTTTAGGGTTAGGGTTTAGGGTTTATATAGGGTTAGGGTGTAGGTGTTTACGGTTTAGGGGATTAGGGGGGCTGAGGGGTTTGGGTTTAGGGTATAGAGTTTAAGGGCTTCGGGCTTAGGGTTTGGGGTTCAGGTTTCGGATTTAGGAGATTAGGGGTTCAGGGGTTTAGGTTTAGGGGCTTAGGGGTTAGGCTTTTGGGGTTGAGGGGTTCACACTTTAGGGGTTTGGGGTTCAGGGAATTAGGCGATTAGGGGTTTGTGGTTTCAGACTTGAGTGTTTAGGGCCTGGAGGTTTATGGGTTTGAGGGTTGGGGCTGGGTGGGCGCCGAATAAAGGCTGGACGACATTACTAAACCCTGAAGCCTGATCCATAAAGCCTCAACCCTAAAATCCTAATAACCCAAAGCCCTAAACCCAAAGAGTGTCATTTCGGAATGCCATACGACAGTGGCTGTCGTAAGATCCCACAACCACCTCAAGAACACACGTATCAACCTACCAACGGCCAAAAAATCGTGGGGAATGGCCAAGAAACCATGGGCAACAGCCAAAAAAGGTTTTGGATCAGGGTTTAAGGTATAGGGGGTTCAAGGCTTAAGGGGTTTATGGGGTTTAGGGTTTAAGAGGTTGAAGGGTGTTAGGGTTTAAGGGGTTGGGGGGTAGGGGGTTTAGGGGGTGTAGGGTGTAGTACTTAGGGAGGCTAGGGGCTTTGCAGTTGAAACACCACACCCTGAACCCTAAACCGCAAGTTTAGGGCCTACAGTTCAGGGCCCCTTGCCTACTTTGGAGTAGACCCTGGAAAAAAACGTATGTATGCTTTAGATAAAGTAGCTATGATAGGAACCCAGAACCAAAAAAGGCATTAAAGTCTAGACCCCAGAGTAACCTAGGTATAAACAGGGTGCCCTTTCTGCCTTAAAGGGAAGTATAAGGGACCCTAAACTCCCGAAAAAAGGGAATGAGGGCCTCCAAACCCTAAACCCTAAACCCTATTACAGAATAATACTCCAAACCCAGCCCTTCGCCACTACTCACCAGCCTGCGACCAGAAGCTGCCGGCGCGGAGATGGGCGTCATGATGCCACGCCTTCCGCACAGCTACTGAGGACACCCCTAATTAAACCCTAAACTCTAAACCGTAGACCACAAACCCTAAACCCTAAACCCTCAACCCTAGATCAAGTGAACAAGCAACCCCAACTCCCGAAAAATTGCGCCTCGTGATGGAAGGCGTGGTTTCGTTGGAGATCTCGGAGTACCTGCGTAGAAGGTTTTAGGGCTTGGGAAGCAAAACCCTAAGCGTATCCAGCTCCCAATCCTACTTGTGCTTTCATACAAACTGAGTATGAGATGCTCGTTTCGATGCCGGTTGCTTCTGGCCTACACTGTCACTTTTGGAGTCAAAGATACCCAAACGCAAAAGAAGGCAACATGTATAAGTTTTGAGTCGTTTTGAGCCAGTTTTGAGGGCCTCACTTAACTATATAATGCCTTTCTTTGCAGCATGGCTTTGGGATCCACACTTGGCCTGAACCGCCTCTGGCCCGACAAAGCCCATCAGCGCCCAGCAGCACCCCTACACGCCGGGCCGAAAGCGCACGCTAACCTAAGGGTTCGAAACGCATGCTGTCCGGGCAAGGGGCTGACCGTGCTCGCTGAGATGTCATGCTGCATTCAAGTATCTTATTCGACAAAGAGCAGCCGTCGACAAAAGATATGACAAGCCTCACAAGTCAGAGCTGTTCACAGGCACACGTTCCCAGACATTGGGGGGAGGGAGGAGGGCATTGCTGAATTTGCGTTGTCTCTTGTATTTTGGTAAAGCCATGTAGCCGTGGTTCCAGGGGTCAAGGCTGGGGGGACTTCGGGTCAAAAAGTTCTTGCGCAATGGAACTCGAAACGGGGCACGCGGCATACTTTCGAGACTCAGGTTTTGGTTGTAGAATCTCAAGACCAAAGGATTTCGGGTTCAGGGCTTTTGGCTTGAAGCTGATATAGCATGGCCGCGCCTTCTGCCCACGCTCCGCGCGAGGCTGCCAACGTGGACTCGTGCCGCAAGACTCAAGCAAGCAAGCTCAGGGAAAAACCTCGTTTGAGAAAAAACCCTGAGCTCCGCCGACCTGCAAACTATACAGACCAGCCAGCCTGCGCGCACACCCCACGGCCAAGAGACAAGCGGAAAACCCAACACCCCACACCACACCCAAGCCAAAACCAACCAAAAACCCAAAGCACCAACTCAAGAAAAAACCCAAGCAAGGGAAAACCAAAGAAGACCCAGCACGAACCCCTGGCAGAGAGGAGGGCGAACAACTGGAGCAGTTGCAGGCGGCTGGAAAAGTAGCGGCCCTGTGAAGGCTCTGCAACAAACGTTGGAAGAATCCCCTTACACGAGCTTTTACGCAGGCCCTCCAGGCGCAGCGAAAGCCAACGTGGAGGGGGGGGGGGGGGGGGGGAAGTTGAGGGGCTTAGCCTCGCCCAACACAAGTACTCCTAGCATCTTCACACTAGGTTGCCCAGTGACCTAGGATGAAAAAGGGTGTTTTTTTGCTTAAAGGGGGATATAGGGGAACCTAAACCTACCAAAAAGGGAATAAGGGGACTACTAGGCATCCTAGCACATCATGCAATCATTCGCTAGCTAGGAGTAATAATAAGTTAGTTTACATTAATTATAGGTGCAGTGCGAGAGCACGGAGGATCTATGAAGACAACATCAGCGGGACTCTCTGGAAGTGAGATCAGATCACGTCAAGGGACTCCGGCTCGCCCTTGGCTTTGGTGATGCACCCGTCGTGGCCCTGGATGAGCACGAAGAGACCCATGACGGCCGATGCGATCACGATAAACCCAAGGATGAACAGGACATCGTCGGCCTCCGATGGGCCAAAACGGAAAATGAGGCCCCAGCACACAGCGCCGACGTTGCCCCCAGCGCCCACCACTCCGGACACGGCGCCAGTTGCGGTGGGCTTCACGTAGGGTACGATTCCGAAAGTGCAGCCCTCCGCCATCTGAACACCGAGCGAGAAGAGCAGCAGGACGCCGATAGTCGCGCCCAGAGAGTCCATCTGGGTGAAGATCAGGAGCATGATGCCCTCCCAGACCAGAGAGATAGACTGCGCATAGATGCGCCCGCGCATGCCGGTGGTGCCCGCGCCGAACAACTGGAACAGCTTGTCGGATAGAGCGCCGCCCATAGCGCGAGCGAAGAGGTTCATGAGGCCGAACAGGGAGGCGATGAGACCCGCAAGGGAGACCGACAGCTCGTACTTGGTCTCCAGGTACCCAGCGAGGATGTTGTTCATGGTGACCTCAACGCCGAAGCAGGCCGCGTACTGGATGAACAGAATCCAGGCGTTGTACTGGAAGAAACCCTCCTGGAACGACTTCTTGGACGACCGGCGCTCCATTGCGCCCCTCTGCTCCAGTTCCTTGAAGTTGCCCTTCGGCGAGTCGTCCGAAAAGAAGTACATGCTAATGCCGGTACCGCATGTCAAAACTCCGGGGACGATGAAAGAAAGGCGCCAGGCCTCCTCGTCGTCAAAGCCAGTGCGGAACATGTTCCACACGCCGACCATGAGCAGCTGAACAGCACCGCCTCCAAGGTTGCCCCAGCCACCAGCCATGGCGTTGGCCGTGCCCACAATCTCCTTCGCGAACAGCTGCGAGCACCACGCCTGGCATGGCACAAAGGTCGCGCCCAGGACACCGATGACAAAGCGGATGATGACCAGGCCAGTACCGTTGTTCACGAGACCACCGAAGAAGACCGGGATAGCTCCGAACGTCAGCAGCATGGAGAACATGGTGCGCGTGCCGAACCTGTCGCACAGAGGGCCCACAGCGAAGCGCATGAGCACGGTCGACGCCACAGATGCGATGTTCGCGTTGTACACCTCGTCCTTGGTCAGGCCCAGGTCCTTCTTGATCTGCGGCATCAGCGGCGCGAACGCGAACCACGACGAGAAGGCCATGAAGAAGCCGAACCACGCGAAGTGGAAGCCGCGCATGTGCGGCCGCTTGAAGGAGAGCAGCTTGATCTCGGTTGTGCGGTCGCCCTGCTTCGGGTCCACCTCGCAGTAGTAAGTCTCGTACTTCTTCCACGAGCCCTCGTGCTTGTTCGTCGTCGGGAGTTCGCCGTCGGCGGCCTTCTCGGGGGTGGACATCTCTTCGGGGGTGGACATCTCACCGCAGCTATCTTGCTTGCTACCGCAGCTATATTGCTTGCTTGGAGCCTGCACTGCCGGAGGGAATGTCACTAGTATGGCCTCAAGAGAGGACCCCTTAGACACCCCTTCTATATACCCTCAAAACCCAAGGGCCCATACTATTCCTTTCAGAGGGCCTTAATTACCCTAAACCCTAGCCCTACATCCTAAGCCCGAAACCCTAAACCCTAAACCCTAAACCCCAAACCCTAAGCCCTAAAGGGTCAAAAGACCCTAACAATAGCGACCCTTAGACATGTCACTTCCAACCGTCGCCTTCGAAGGCGAGGAGCTCCGCCGCCGGGTTGAAAATGTTTCGGAAAACCCTAAAACCCTAAACCCTAATCCCCAAACCCTAAACCCCAAAACCCCTACCCTAATGCCTAATCCCTAAAACCCCAAAACCTGAAAGCGCGCCTTCGCTCCACTTGGCAGTCGCGCCGCGCTGCCTCAGCGACCTCCGCCTCCTTCACCTGTGGCCGCTTAGAGTTTACGGAGATTGGGGAGTTTAGGAAGTTTAGAATCCCCAAACCCTAAACCCTAATCCCTAAAACCCTAAACTCTGAGGGAGTCTGGGGAGTTTAGGGAGTCTACGGAATCTAAAGAAGCCAACTCTGAACCCTGCATTCTCGGGGTGGTTGCGAGGGGGGCTAGGTTTAGGGCTTAGGGTTATAGGGTATATAGGGTTTAGGAGTCAGGGTTGCGGGTTGAGAGCTGAGGGGCTTCAAAGTTTCAGGGTAATAAGGTCCTGGAGCATGCAGAGGCTTTGGAGTGGGCAGGGCTTATAGAATTTTGGGTACCCTAAACCCTAAGACCCAATCCCTGAACCGCAAACCCCAAACCCTAAACCCTAAACCGTTTAAACCCTAAACCCTGAACCCAAAACCCTATACCCTAAACCCTAAACCCTAGACCCTAAACCCGAAACCCCAAGGAGCATCTTGCACGGTAAGCCCTAAGCTTCCTAAAGCTTCCTAAGCCTGAGGCCGTCAGCCCGCAAACGAAATCCTACTGAGTTCAGGTTTGGGGGGGGGACGGGTTTAGGGTTTAGGGTTCAGGGTTCAGGGTTCAGGGTTTAGGGTTTAGGGGTCAACCCCTAAACTTTAAACCCCGAACCCTAAACCCTAGACCCTATGCCCTGAACCACGAAACCGCTGAAGAGCCGCACCCCACGCTCCGCAGTCTCCAAACCCTAAGCTTGGAAAACAACTTTCCTACTATTTGCTTCGGAACCCCCCCCCCAAAAAAAAAAAAACACAGAATAATAATCCCCATATTGCCCTCACCAGGAAGAATACTAGAATACTTGTTGGTGGTTTTTTTTTAGCAAATAGCACTAGGATGGCCCTTAAACCCCTCTGAAAAAATATTCCTGAATATGACCCTCTTAAACCCAACAAGGGAAAATATGAAATGTCCCAAGGGCCTACCTAGAGCAGTTTTGAACCCCAAACGGAGTACCTGGGCTTTCCGGTACCTTCCTATAGAGGGCTTCTATGGCCCAAGCATAGAAGAACGACCGTGCATGGACTCTAAGCGCCCTAAACCCTAAACCCTAAACCCTAAACCCTAAACCCTAAACCCTAAACCCTAAACCCCAAACCCTAAACCCCAAACCCTAAACCCTGCAACCCACAAGCCGCTTAAACCCTACACCTCTCAAGGGCACTCCTAGCCTTGCGGAGGGCTTCGACAGTGCCCTGAACCTGGTGTAGGGTTCAGGGTTTCGGGTTTAGGGTTCAGGGTTTAGGGTTTCGGGTTCAGGGTTCAGGGTCTAGAGTTCAGGGTTTTGGAGATAATTTTGGCTTCGGATTCGGTGGCTAGCGTCCTTTGGGGGGGGGGGAGGGGGGGGGGGATCCGTTATTCTGAGGGTGGCGTACTCTATCGGAGACGACTCCGAGGCACCCGAACTTAGAAAACAGCAAACTTCAAGAGTACACCAGAGCTGAACACTGCGCACGTTAAGAGAGAAGAGTTCCTACTGTACCCCAAAGGGACTATTTAAATAAGTGGGGTTTACGTGGCCCTCAAAGCACTCCGTATAGGGTTTAGGGTTTAGGGTTTAGGGTTTAGGGTTTAGGGTTTAGGGTTTAGGGACTTCCCGGAACGCAAACTTCCTGCAAGCCGAAGGCATGACCCAGCTAAACCTCAAGGGGTTGAGGTTTAGGGTTTAGGGTTTAGGGTTTAGGGTTTAGGGTTTAGGGTTTAGGGTTTAGGGTTTAGGGTTTAGGTTTAGGGTTTAGGGTGTAGGGTGTAGGGTTTAGGGTTTAGGGTTTGGGGTTTGGGGTTTGGGGTTTGGGGTTTGGGGTTTGGGGTTTGGGGCTTGGGGTTTGGGGTTTGGGGGTTTGGCGGTTTAGGGTTTAGGGTTTAGGGTTTAGGGTGGGTTTATAAGGGTTTACAATCTTGGGCTTAGGCTTTCGAGTTTCAGGGGTTTTGTGGTTCCGGAAGGGCTGCTGAAGGGCTGCTGAAGGGCTAGACTTCTGAAGTATGCCTAGTGAGCTGTCGCGCCTCAAGCAACTTGCGAGAGTTGAGGTATATTTTGGCACATGGACCCTTAGCGGAGGCCGGATAGGAACTCCCCCCGAAAGCCTAATAAACCTTAAACCCTAATCCCCTGAACCCGAAACCCTAAACCTCAGGGCCTTCGTTGCATTCCATTTCTGGCTACTGACCTAGTGATCAGCAACCCCACAACCACAACCCTGGTCCGGAAGTCAACAAGCCAGTTCGTCATTTTAGGGTTGGGCGCAATGTAGGGCAAAATTTCGGGTGCCTCGCTCGCGGTAGAACTGGCGCCGTCTCGGAAAACACGGCGCTTGCACTTGCCGTCTTGGAATTCCAGTCTCACGACCTGCCGCACTTTGCCAGGTTGCTTGAAGACCCTTGACTGCCGCGGTCAGCACATGTGCCACGTGCAAGGTCTCGGACACTGGCATTTCCAATCCCGAGCTCAGGCTCTTCGCAAGTTCGTCCCTAAACCCTAAACCCTAAACCCTAATTAAACCCTAAACCCTAAACAAGTGATGGTACGGGAAGGACAACTCTTACGGCGCGACGGTGATGAAGAGGCTGAGCCAGCCCAGCTGCTTCTGAAGCTCGTCTTTGGGTTTAGGGCTTAGGGCACGTTAGGGCCTTGGGAGTTTAGGGTTTAGGGTTTAGGGTTTAGGGTTTAGGATTTAGGGTTTAGGGCTTTCAAAGGACCACACCTCTCGCTCAAAGCCCACAGCCTTCGCGAGCTGCAGTCGCAGCGCAGCTTCCTCGAGGGCCGCCTCTCTTTGCTGTCGCTGTGGCAGTCCCCACCCCCCCCCCCCCCCCCCCCCCCCCCCCCGAAAAGGCCGAAACCCTGCACCCCGAAGCCTACCACTCCACAGGTTCAGGGTTCAGGGTTTAGGGTTTAGGGTTTATAGGGTGTAGGCGGTGTAGGGTTTACGGCCCAAAACCCTATACTATGCCCTAAACCCTAAAGCCTTGATGGCTGATCGGGGGAAGCCCCTTTTTTTGGGACATATCCACCACAGAATCTTCCTGGGGCGAGCTCGCAGGGCTTGCGGGCTTGTGGCTGTGTTAGGGGGCAAGGTGCATGGGGTTTAGGGTTTAGGGCTCAGGGTTTAGGCTTTTATGGGTCAAGGACGTAGCTTTTTCTTTGTTTTTTTCTTTTTTTATAATGGGTTTAGGGCTAATTGGGTCTTTGTAGAGCTCACGAGAAAAGAAAGGGAAGGGATGCTGTCGGGTTTTTGAGAAGAGTGGTTCGCCCCAAAACAAAGCGCCACTTGGTAGCCCGGTAACCATATGAGAACAAGGGCACCCTTTTGGGGGTTGGTTACTTTGTAAGGGAACCCAGAACCGAAAAAAAAAAAGAACAAAGGGTACCTCTGGGCGACCGCCACAGCTTAAACCCTATGGTGGACGGCAAATTCTTCTAAACCCATTAGAGGACAAGTCGCGCTGCCACACCGAAGTTCCAACCTTTTTTCCTCTCAGCGTAAAGTGGGAAATCCACACGCATGCGCGGTACAGACTCAGCGGCCCCAAGTCCCCCCTGCACAGTTCGCAAGACCCTCGCAACCCATTCTTGGCCTTCATGTTCTCCACAAAATTTGTTTTGGGGCCTCGCTTTGTTTATAAAGCGAACAAGCGACTTCGATGGAGCTGAGCCACTTAAATTTCTTGGATACTGGGGGCTCTTGTTTGTTGATTTTGTCTTTTTATGGGCTTGAAAGTTGGAAATTCAGTCGCCCAACTTTAGGTTTGAAGTAAAACGTGGAAACGCTCAAAAGTTCTCAAAATCGGGTCTGGCGCCTACTATGTCGGAGTGCTGGAAGCAGGCCGCGAGGTTTCCAAGTTTTTTGGCCTCCACTGAAAGGCCTTTGAACCGTCACAGTTTTTGAACACAACACAACACAACAAACCCTGCAGGGCTCCATGTACCTGTAATAGTACATACTCTTGGCTGCACTTCTGAGGGTAGCAAAAAATGAAACTTTTAGCTGCTTGATTAAGAAACCCAATAAACCCAAAAAGGGTAAGGATCTAAAGTTACAGTAAAGTACCACAAAGTACTTTGGCCCCCAGGTGCATGGACCCTAAACCCTAAACTCTAAACCCTAAAAACTTGAAAGCTTCCCGGATGTCCGTCCGCGCCTGCCGCTCTTCCTGCAGGTTTGGGAAGGGCTTGGGTGTTTTTTAGGGGGTTTGGTAGCGAAATAGGGAATACTTGGGGCTTAAGCATGAAATACTGAAATACATGGACCCTTAGGGGTTTAGGGCTGAAGGCTTTTGCTTTTGTCTGCTGAGTGGTAAGGACGTATTGCATGGGTCGAAGGCAGGAGTTCATGAGCTTATCGTTGTCTTATGAAGCTCTGGGCTTTTTGAGCCTTGAAGCAAAGCCCCAAGCCCTCAACCATTGCACTGTCGAAAGCTTGTAGGTATGATCCGACATGCGGAGGGGACAAGTGAAACTGTAAGTTGTTGAGCATCTAGCGCATGTTGGCATTTAGACCTTAAAAGGGGTGTGCAGCAAACGCACCCGCCACATGCGGCATGCTGATTGCATGGCCAACTGAACCACGTACTTCGGCCTTCAATTTACTCAGTGGTTGTTTGGTTCTGAATAAGTTGCACGCAGTATGCGCCACTAACACTGAAACTCACCGTGGCTTTTTGAACGTGGTGCTAGCAAGAACTTACTCTGCCGACCACTTCTTAACACCACGAACCTTGTTCGTCCTACAGTGACAGGCGCAAACGTACAGGCCTACTTAAGATGTTACGATCATCGCCCTCAGACGCGCTACCATGGCATCTTCAGGCATCGGAGCATCATGCCCAAAATCCCTGTCGAAGAGGCTCGGCGGTGATGAAGCACCTATCAACCGTAAGCCCTATAGCATACAACCCCAAAAGCCCCAGACCTAAGTACGACTTGAAGTAGGTACTAGTGTATATTTAGAGATTCAGAGTTTCAGCCAAAGAAGAGCCTTCTTACTATGGCTTAGGGTCGAGAGGGCTTGCTTCAAGTGACGGAAGGATTCCTTAACACCAAGGCACTCGACCCCTGAAGCCCCCCAAAGTTGGAGTAAACCATACTAATCTGAACACTAAACCCTAAACCCTAAACCCGAAACCCCAAACCCCAAACCCCTAAACCCTAAACCCTAAACTCTAAACCCTAGTCCTTAAAACCTTCCAAAGCTGGAGGGGAGTAAACCATATTAGTCTGAAACCTAAACCCTAAACCCTAAACCCTAAACCCTAAACCCTAAACCCTAAACCCCCAAAGATGGAGGGGAGTGAGCCTCCTCGAACTGTCGTTCCATGGCTGCAGCCTCGCGCTGCAAAGCGAAAAGCTCCTGGCCAGGACCGGTTCCATCTAACGCCCCCCCAATGGTTTCAGGGACACCTCTGTTAGGGATAGGATATAGGGTATAGGGTATAGGGTATAGGGTATAGGGTTTAGGGTTTAGGGTTTGGGGTTTGGGGTTTAGGGTTCTACGAGGCCACAAGAGCGTACCATGGAAGGCTTTGGAGTTGGCTGTTGAAATATACACCGGTTGGTTTAGGGTTGAGGGTTGAGGGTTGAGGGTTGAGGGTTGAGGGTTGAGGGTTGAGGGTTGAGGGTTGAGGGTTGAGGGTTGAGGGTTTAGGGTTTAGAGTTTAGGATTTGGGGTTTAGGGTTTAGGGTTAAGGGTTTGCTGGTTCTTGGTAGTCCTAGCACAGGTACGGGCAGCAGCTGCAGTAGTACCAGCAGGCAGTCACATGCGCACACTTCGGCTTCGCAAACGATCGCTCCAGCTTGCTCTCTGGTATGAGTCATATCTATATATATATATATCTATATCTATAGATATTGTATGTCTATATCTATATCTATATATATATATCTATATCTATCTATATATATATATATATATATCTATATCTATATCTATATCTATATGTATGTTCTACTGTGGCGCCCTCCACCCTACTCCCTAAACCCTAAACCCTAAACCCTAAACCCTGTTTCGAACGACCCCCCCCCCCCCCCCCCCCAAGAGCCCAACACGCTCAAGCCCGAACGCAGCCCAAAACCCCCACAACCCGTCTGCACTTCTAGATGCCTCGAGCCCTAAACCCTAAACCCTAATCTTAAGGCCCAAACCCGAAACCCTAAACCCTAAACCCTAAACCCCAAGCCCTAAACACTAAACCCACCCCCTCATCCCAAAAAAAGAGCAAGAGCCGACATCCCCAGCCCTCCCAACAGCCTGGCTGAAGCTCGCAGCAGTAGTTAAATCTCACCCTAAAGCCTAAAACCTCAAGCCAAAATTCGAAATTAAAAAAAAACCCAAAACCTAAACCCCCAAAACTCTCAAAACCCTAAACCCTAAGCCCTAAACCTTAAACCCTATAAAAACCCTAAACTCTAAGCCTCAAACCAGCAGCACCCCTACACGCCGGGCCGAAAGCGCACGCTAACCTAAGGGTTCGAAACGCATGCTGTCCGGGCAAGGGGCTGACCGTGCTCGCTGAGATGTCATGCTGCATTCAAGTATCTTATTCGACAAAGAGCAGCCGTCGACAAGAGATATGACAAGCCTCACAAGTCAGAGCTGTTCACAGGCACACATTCCCAGACATTGGGGGGAGGGAGGAGGGCATTGCTGAATTTGCGTTGTCTCTTGTATTTTGGTAAAGCCATGTAGCCGTGGTTCCAGGGGTCAAGGCTGGGGGGACTTCGGGTCAAAAAGTTCTTGCGCAATGGAACTCGAAACGGGGCACGCGGCATACTTTCGAGACTCAGGTTTTGGTTGTAGAATCTCAAGACCAAAGGATTTCGGGTTCAGGGCTTTTGGCTTGAAGCTGATATAGCATGGCCGCGCCTTCTGCCCACGCTCCGCGCGAGGCTGCCAACGTGGACTCGTGCCGCAAGACTCAAGCAAGCAAGCTCAGGGAAAAACCTCGTTTGAGAAAAAACCCTGAGCTCCGCCGACCTGCAAACTATACAGACCAGCCAGCCTGCGCGCACACCCCACGGCCAAGAGACAAGCGGAAAACCCAACACCCCACACCACACCCAAGCCAAAACCAACCAAAAACCCAAAGCACCAACTCAAGAAAAAACCCAAGCAAGGGAAAACCAAAGAAGACCCAGCACGAACCCCTGGCAGAGAGGAGGGCGAACAACTGGAGCAGTTGCAGGCGGCTGGAAAAGTAGCGGCCCTGTGAAGGCTCTGCAACAAACGTTGGAAGAATCCCCTTACACGAGCTTTTACGCAGGCCCTCCAGGCGCAGCGAAAGCCAACGTGGAGGGGGGGGGGGGGGGGGGGAAGTTGAGGGGCTTAGCCTCGCCCAACACAAGTACTCCTAGCATCTTCACACTAGGTTGCCCAGTGACCTAGGATGAAAAAGGGTGTTTTTTTGCTTAAAGGGGGATATAGGGGAACCTAAACCTACCAAAAAGGGAATAAGGGGACTACTGGGCATCCTAGCACATCATGCAATCATTCGCTAGCTAGGAGTAATAATAAGTTAGTTTACATTAATTATAGGTGCAGTGCGAGAGCACGGAGGATCTATGAAGACAACATCAGCGGGACTCTCTGGAAGTGAGATCAGATCACGTCAAGGGACTCCGGCTCGCCCTTGGCTTTGGTGATGCACCCGTCGTGGCCCTGGATGAGCACGAAGAGACCCATGACGGCCGATGCGATCACGATAAACCCAAGGATGAACAGGACATCGTCGGCCTCCGATGGGCCAAAACGGAAAATGAGGCCCCAGCACACAGCGCCGACGTTGCCCCCAGCGCCCACCACTCCGGACACGGCGCCAGTTGCGGTGGGCTTCACGTAGGGTACGATTCCGAAAGTGCAGCCCTCCGCCATCTGAACACCGAGCGAGAAGAGCAGCAGGACGCCGATAGTCGCGCCCAGAGAGTCCATCTGGGTGAAGATCAGGAGCATGATGCCCTCCCAGACCAGAGAGATAGACTGCGCATAGATGCGCCCGCGCATGCCGGTGGTGCCCGCGCCGAACAACTGGAACAGCTTGTCAGATAGAGCGCCGCCCATAGCGCGAGCGAAGAGGTTCATGAGGCCGAACAGGGAGGCGATGAGACCCGCAAGGGAGACCGACAGCTCGTACTTGGTCTCCAGGTACACAGCGAGGATGTTGTTCATGGTGACCTCAACGCCGAAGCAGGCCGCGTACTGGATGAACAGAATCCAGGCGTTGTACTGGAAGAAACCCTCCTGGAACGACTTCTTGGACGACCGGCGCTCCATTGTGCCCCTCTGCTCCAGTTCCTTGAAGTTGCCCTTCGGCGAGTCGTCCGAAAAGAAGTACATGCTAATGCCGGTACCGCATGTCAAAACTCCGGGGACGATGAAAGAAAGGCGCCAGGCCTCCTCGTCGTCAAAGCCAGTGCGGAACATGTTCCACACGCCGACCATGAGCAGCTGAACAGCACCGCCTCCAAGGTTGCCCCAGCCACCAGCCATGGCGTTGGCCGTGCCCACAATCTCCTTCGCGAACAGCTGCGAGCACCACGCTTGGCATGGCACAAAGGTCGCGCCCAGGACACCGATGACAAAGCGGATGATGACCAGGCCAGTACCGTTGTTCACGAGACCACCGAAGAAGACCGGGATAGCTCCGAACGTCAGCAGCATGGAGAACATGGTGCGCGTGCCGAACCTGTCGCACAGAGGGCCCACAGCGAAGCGCATGAGCACGGTCGACGCCACAGATGCGATGTTCGCGTTGTACACCTCGTCCTTGGTCAGGCCCAGGTCCTTCTTGATCTGCGGCATCAGCGGCGCGAACGCGAACCACGACGAGAAGGCCATGAAGAAGCCGAACCACGCGAAGTGGAAGCCGCGCATGTGCGGCCGCTTGAAGGAGAGCAGCTTGATCTCGGTTGCGCGGTCGCCCTGCTTCGGGTCCACCTCGCAGTAGTAAGTCTCGTACTTCTTCCACGAGCCCTCGTGCTTGTTCGTCGTCGGGAGTTCGCCGTCGGCGGCCTTCTCGGGGGTGGACATCTCTTCGGGGGTGGACATCTCACCGCAGCTATCTTGCTTGCTACCGCAGCTATATTGCTTGCTTGGAGCCTGCACTGCCGGAGGGAATGTCACTAGTATGGCCTCAAGAGAGGACCCCTTAGACACCCCTTCTATATACCCTCAAAACCCAAAGGGCCCATACTATTCCTTTCAGAGGGCCTTAATTACCCTAAACCCTAGCCCTACACCCTAAGCCCGAAACCCTAAACCCTAAACCCTAAACCCCAAGAACCCTAATCTTAAGGCCCAAACCCGAAACCCTAAACCCTAAACCCTAAACCCCAAGCCCTAAACACTAAACCCACCCCCTCATCCCAAAAAAAGAGCAAGAGCCGACATCCCCAGCCCTCCCAACAGCCTGGCTGAAGCTCGCAGCAGTAGTTAAATCTCACCCTAAAGCCTAAAACCTCAAGCCAAAATTCGAAATTAAAAAAAACCCAAAACCTAAACCCCCAAAACTCTCAAAACCCTAAACCCTAAGCCCTAAACCTTAAACCCTATAAAAACCCTAAACTCTAAGCCTCAAACCAGCAGCACCCCTACACGCCGGGCCGAAAGCGCACGCTAACCTAAAGGTTCGAAACGCATGCTGTCCGGGCAAGGGGCTGACCGTGCTCGCTGAGATGTCATGCTGCATTCAAGTATCTTATTCGACAAAGAGCAGCCGTCGACAAGAGATATGACAAGCCTCACAAGTCAGAGCTGTTCACAGGCACACATTCCCAGACATTGGGGGGAGGGAGGAGGGCATTGCTGAATTTGCGTTGTCTCTTGTATTTTGGTAAAGCCATGTAGCCGTGGTTCCAGGGGTCAAGGCTGGGGGGACTTCGGGTCAAAAAGTTCTTGCGCAATGGAACTCGAAACGGGGCACGCGGCATACTTTCGAGACTCAGGTTTTGGTTGTAGAATCTCAAGACCAAAGGATTTCGGGTTCAGGGCTTTTGGCTTGAAGCTGATATAGCATGGCCGCGCCTTCTGCCCACGCTCCGCGCGAGGCTGCCAACGTGGACTCGTGCCGCAAGACTCAAGCAAGCAAGCTCAGGGAAAAACCTCGTTTGAGAAAAAACCCTGAGCTCCGCCGACCTGCAAACTATACAGACCAGCCAGCCTGCGCGCACACCCCACGGCCAAGAGACAAGCGGAAAACCCAACACCCCACACCACACCCAAGCCAAAACCAACCAAAAACCCAAAGCACCAACTCAAGAAAAAAACCCAAGCAAGGCAAACCAAAGAAGACCCAGCACGAACCCCTGGCAGAGAGGAGGGCGAACAACTGGAGCAGTTGCAGGCGGCTGGAAAAGTAGCGGCCCTGTGAAGGCTCTGCAACAAACGTTGGAAGAATCCCCTTACACGAGCTTTTACGCAGGCCCTCCAGGCGCAGCGAAAGCCAACGTGGAGGGGGGGGGGGGGGGGGGGGGGGGGGGAAGTTGAGGGGCTTAGCCTCGCCCAACACAAATACTCCTAGCATCTTCACACTAGGTTGCCCAGTGACCTAGGATGAAAAAGGGTGTTTTTTTGCTTAAAGGGGGATATAGGGGAACCTAAACCTACCAAAAAGGGAATAAGGGGACTACTGGGCATCCTAGCACATCATGCAATCATTCGCTAGCTAGGAGTAATAATAAGTTAGTTTACATTAATTATAGGTGCAGTGCGAGAGCACGGAGGATCTATGAAGACAACATCAGCGGGACTCTCTGGAAGTGAGATCAGATCACGTCAAGGGACTCCGGCTCGCCCTTGGCTTTGGTGATGCACCCGTCGTGGCCCTGGATGAGCACGAAGAGACCCATGACGGCCGATGCGATCACGATAAACCCAAGGATGAACAGGACATCGTCGGCCTCCGATGGGCCAAAACGGAAAATGAGGCCCCAGCACACAGCGCCGACGTTGCCCCCAGCGCCCACCACTCCGGACACGGCGCCAGTTGCGGTGGGCTTCACGTAGGGTACGATTCCGAAAGTGCAGCCCTCCGCCATCTGAACACCGAGCGAGAAGAGCAGCAGGACGCCGATAGTCGCGCCCAGAGAGTCCATCTGGGTGAAGATCAGGAGCATGATGCCTTCCCAGACCAGAGAGATAGACTGCGCATAGATGCGCCCGCGCATGCCGGTGGTGCCCGCGCCGAACAACTGGAACAGCTTGTCGGATAGAGCGCCGCCCATAGCGCGAGCGAAGAGGTTCATGAGGCCGAACAGGGAGGCGATGAGACCCGCAAGGGAGACCGACAGCTCGTACTTGGTCTCCAGGTACCCAGCGAGGATGTTGTTCATGGTGACCTCAACGCCGAAGCAGGCCGCGTACTGGATGAACAGAATCCAGGCGTTGTACTGGAAGAAACCCTCCTGGAACGACTTCTTGGACGACCGGCGCTCCATTGTGCCCCTCTGCTCCAGTTCCTTGAAGTTGCCCTTCGGCGAGTCGTCCGAAAAGAAGTACATGCTAATGCCGGTACCGCATGTCAAAACTCCGGGGACGATGAAAGAAAGGCGCCAGGCCTCCTCGTCGTCAAAGCCAGTGCGGAACATGTTCCACACGCCGACCATGAGCAGCTGAACAGCACCGCCTCCAAGGTTGCCCCAGCCACCAGCCATGGCGTTGGCCGTGCCCACAATCTCCTTCGCGAACAGCTGCGAGCACCACGCCTGGCATGGCACAAAGGTCGCTCCCAGGACACCGATGACAAAGCGGATGATGACCAGGCCAGTACCGTTGTTCACGAGACCACCGAAGAAGACCGGGATAGCTCCGAACGTCAGCAGCATGGAGAACATGGTGCGCGTGCCGAACCTGTCGCACAGAGGGCCCACAGCGAAGCGCATGAGCACGGTCGACGCCACAGATGCGATGTTCGCGTTGTACACCTCGTCCTTGGTCAGGCCCAGGTCCTTCTTGATCTGCGGCATCAGCGGCGCGAACGCGAACCACGACGAGAAGGCCATGAAGAAGCCGAACCACGCGAAGTGGAAGCCGCGCATGTGCGGCCGCTTGAAGGAGAGCAGCTTGATCTCGGTTGCGCGGTCGCCCTGCTTCGGGTCCACCTCGCAGTAGTAAGTCTCGTACTTCTTCCACGAGCCCTCGTGCTTGTTCGTCGTCGGGAGTTCGCCGTCGGCGGCCTTCTCGGGGGTGGACATCTCTTCGGGGGTGGACATCTCACCGCAGCTATCTTGCTTGCTACCGCAGCTATATTGCTTGCTTGGAGCCTGCACTGCCGGAGGGAATGTCACTAGTATGGCCTCAAGAGAGGACCCCTTAGACACCCCTTCTATATACCCTCAAAACCCAAAGGGCCCATACTATTCCTTTCAGAGGGCCTTAATTACCCTAAACCCTAGCCCTACACCCTAAGCCCGAAACCCTAAACCCTAAACCCTAAACCCCAAGAACCCTAATCTTAAGGCCCAAACCCGAAACCCTAAACCCTAAACCCTAAACCCCAAGCCCTAAACACTAAACCCACCCCCTCATCCCAAAAAAAGAGCAAGAGCCGACATCCCCAGCCCTCCCAACAGCCTGGCTGAAGCTCGCAGCAGTAGTTAAATCTCACCCTAAAGCCTAAAACCTCAAGCCAAAATTCGAAATTAAACAAAACCCAAAACCTAAACCCCCAAAACTCTCAAAACCCTAAACCCTAAGCCCTAAACCTTAAACCCTATAAAAACCCGAAACTCTAAGCCTTAAACCCTACACCTCGAACCCAAGCTAAACACCTTCTGCGTCTCTTCAAAACGCCGGCGCCAGTGTGCCGCTGTCAAGCCTGGGGCTCGCAAGAGTCTTTGGGGTTGTGCGATACATAAAAAAAAAGGATTTAGGTGTTTGGGGTTTAGGGTTTAGGGGTTTAGGGCTTATTAGGGTTTTTAAATGGCGTTTACTGGGTTTATATTGGGTCTTGAGGGTTTATAGGGTTTGTAGGGTTTACAGGGTCTTCTAGGAGGCATCAGGCCTTAAACCCCTAAACCCCTAAGCCCTCAACCGCAAGTCCCTAAACCCTAAACCCTAAACCCTACACCCTAAACCCTTAACCCTAAACTCGTAAGGATCCCTTATCCAATTTGGGTGCTTAGGGCACCTTGTGCTCGGGTCTGCAAAACGGCCTCGATGATTCGCTGGCTCCTGAACATTTACCTCCTAGGGTCCGTGTACCTATATGTATATGTATATGTATGTTTAGGGTTTAGGGCTGAGGGTTGAGTGTTGAGGGTTTAGGGTTGAGGGGTTAGGGTTTAGGGTTGATGTAAGAATATATAATATTGCTTTCTGGAGGTTCAAAAGGGGTCCCTATATAGTAGATTTAGTGCCCAAGTACATAGACTACATATGTAAATGGACCCTTAAGGTTAGTCTTCCGCCACCACGCTTCGTCGTTCTCCTCCACGTTCAGGATCACGCTTCCACTCTCCCGGCTTTCAGACGTCGTTCTTGTGGCAGATTCCAGGGTTTAGAGTTTTCTGGGACGGCCCTCAAAACCCTCTGAGAAATATTCTGAATATGATCCTCTTAAACCCAATAAGGGAAAATTAAAATATCCCAAGGGCCTACTTGGTAGGGTTCAGGGTTGATAATTGCACCTTGCATGGGGTACAGGCGCAAGTAAGGGCGTTCGGGGTGGGAGGCCATGCACACCCCGGCGCAGCATGTGTTCTTTTTCTACTGCTTGCTTAAGAATCCCCCAGAAAGAAAAAACAACACTATTCCTTATCAGGGCAACATGGGGATGACTATTTTACATTTTTTGGGGGTTCTTAAGCAACTGGTAATTTTTGTGTGCGACAAGGCATGAACTGAGCACCCGGCACGCTTCGCGGCTGCCACGCCTGCTTCAGGATGGCTTCAAACCCTAAACCCTAAACCCTAAACCAAAGCCTAAATCCCAAACCCCAAACCCCAAACCCCAAACCCCTAAGCCCTACGCCCTAAGCCATAAGGGGCGGGAAGGGGGCGGGGGGGCGGGGGGGGGGGGGGGGGGGGGGGGAGGGGGGCAACCGAGGGGGGGGGGAGGAGGCGGCGGGGGGGGGGGGGGGGAGGGGCGGGTCCAAGTTTAGGGTTTAGGGTTCAGGGGGGTGTCGGTTTTACCCTGCCAAAAAACACCCCAACTACTGTGCTCTCTTTTCTGCCCTCGGTTTTCGCATGTCGACAATGAAGGTCCGGGTCCCAGGCACCCACCCCTCTCCCCCTAGGGGTTTAGGGTTTAGGGTTTAGGGTTTAGGGTTTAGGGTTTAGGGTTTAGGGTTGCTTTCAGGTCTCTCAAGCCCCCGAACCCTCAACACCACGCAAGACTTCAGTCTCCAACGCCTAATTCCCAAAACAGAAGGCCTCAACTGCAAACTGACAACTTAAATCCGAAACCCAAATCCTGAAACCTAACCCTGAGCCGTAAAACCTAGGCCCTCAATCCTAAACCCTAAACCTGCGCCCAAAACCCGAAACCCTTCTACAGCCACCTTGTCCTTACCTCCTCCTTTCGTGGATACTGAGCAGCCTGGTGCCGCAGACGCAGGGTTTCGGGGTTTGGGGTTTGTCGGCTTTCGTATTTTAGGGACCCTAAACCCTAAACCCTAAACCCTAAACCCTAAACCCTAAACCCTAAACCCTAAACCCTACGGGTTTATATAGGGACCCTAAGTGGATGGCTTAGGAGGGGCCACCACGGGATTTTTTCTAGGGTTTAGAAAGTACATCTTTTGAGTCTTACAAGACGGGTTTAGGGTTTAGGGTTTAGGGTTTAGGGTTTAGGGTTGGGGGTTGAGGGTTGAAGGGTTTAGGGTTTAGGGTTTAGGGTTTAGCTGTTGCTGCATGGGGCCTACCTTCGTAGGGAAGTAACAGGGCTAGAGGGTTTGGGGGGTTTAGATGTCACCTCTCAGAAAAACCTCGAGGAAACGTATGGAGACGAAACAGACCTTTTGAAGTTCACAAGTATAGATACTGGCATCGTTGCCTACGCACACATACCCTCCCCGTAGTAAACCTTATTCCCTTTAACCCTTACGCCCTTAAACGCTCCCTAAGCCCTCCCTAAAGCCTCTTTAAACCCTTCAAATCCTTAAACCCATTAAGCCCTAACACCAAAGTAGCCAAAAAAACACGACACCACAGGGCTTGCTTTAAAAAAAGCGAAGGGCTTGCTACATCTGTGTTTCGGACAAGGCCTCGGGAGAGAAGCGGGGTGACTCCTGGGGTTTTGGGCTTCGGGGTACTCGTGCTTTGGGTTTCGGGTTCAGGGTGTAGGGTCAGGATTTAGGGTTGTGGTCTTCGGGGTATTCGGGCGTAGGGTTTAGGGTGTAGGGTTCAGGGTTAGGGTTATGGGTTTTCGGGAGGGCACGGCTTGACAGACCTTCCTTTTCACAGAATGGGTCTTCCATCAAGTTTAGGTTTGGGGGTTATGCCCCATATTAAAGGGGGTTTAATCTACTATTTTGTAAGATACCCTAAAGCCTAAAGCCTAAACCCCAAAACCCTAAGCCTGTAAACCCCCAAAGCCTAAACCCTAAACCCTGAACCCTAAAGTGAAACCATTCCAGCGGCCTTCTCGGACACTTCTTGCACCGAAATGCGGTCGTTGAAGCGCCCGGACACCAGCAACCTGGGCCGAATGACCCTTAAAGGGTTTAGGGTTTAGGGTTTGGGGTTTAGGGTTTAAAAGTTTAGGGTTTAGGGTCGAGGGTTTAGGGTCCTAAAGGTACATGCATGTAATGCATGCGAAAAGGTGCCAACATCACACACCTTAATTAAGGTATTTATTCAAAAGTCCTTATGTAAGGTTTTCAACCTTAAACAAGCATGCTTATTTAAGGTGTCTTTTATAAACGTCTTTTGGAAGCTCTGGGTACGGGTGCGTCTCCACCTGTTCCACGGCCAGAATCGCCTCGTTGTGCGCCAAGAGATGATGCAACGCGACCAGCTTCTGTCTAAACCCTAAACCCTAAACCCTGAACCCTGAACCCTGAACCCCGAACCCTAAACCCTGAACCCTAAACCTGTCAACACATGCAGCGTCGGTGGTGGGCTCCGAGGCTTCGACGCAGCGGAGCATGCGCAGGACACCCTTCATGGCCGAAGAAACGTGAAAACTGCGGAGCGCAGTCGCCAAGGAAGCGTAGCAGGAGAGACTGCTAGGGCCATAACCGGCTCATGATGAAGTCTGTAAGTCTTAGGAAACCCTAAACCCTAAACCCTAAACCTTAAACCCTAAACCCAAAACCCTAAACCCTTCCAGGGAGACTGCAGGTTCTGATTGTTGCGCCGGGGGGGGGGGGGGGGGGGGGGGGGGGGGCCGGGCTAGCCAAGACATTTCTCCTAGCGCCAAGATACTTCTCCTGGTGCCTTACTATAACCTGAGTAGATGCTCACACGGTTCCCCCAAACCCCATACGCCTGAACCCTAAACCCCAAACCCTAAACCCCAACCACCAAACCCCCAACCCTAAACCCCGAGCCTAAACCCTGAGCCTAAACCCCAAGCCCTAACCCTAAACTCTAAACCCCAAACCCCAAAACCCCATACCCCAAACCCTAAACCCTAAAACCAAAACCCTAAACCCTAAACCCCAAACCCTAAACCCTAAACCCTAAAGCCTAAACCCTAGACCCTAAACCCTAAACCCTAAACCCTCAACCCTAAACCCTAAACCCTAAACCCTAAACCTACCGAAGCCGTTGCCGTGGTGTCGCGCAAACGACCGAGTTGGCGACTCGAGGTCGCCTTTCTCCGGTGCCTGGAAGGGTTTAGGGTTTAGGGTTTAGGGTTAGGGCTTAGGGTTTAGGGTTTAGAGTTTAGGGTTGAGGGCTTCGGGTTTAGGGTTTAGGGGCTTGAGGGTTTCAGGTTGGGATGTGCCCCCTCATACTCTCAAGTTTTGAGTTTTTTTACGGTTTTTGGGGGATTTCGGGTTTTGGGGCTTTTGGGTGCAGGGTGGGCTTCGGGGCAGCTTTTGAGTTTGTTGCTTTGTTGTTGCAACGTGGCGGCCAGTTCGGTGAGTGATGAATTCACGGCTTTGGGGTGTAGGGTTTGGGGCTTAAGGGGGGCTTTAGGGCTTTGACAATTTGAGGGGGCCTGCACCCTAAACCCTGAAACCTACAGGGCAGGGCTTAGGGCTTAGGGGCTTTACTTAGGGTTCTTGCGCCTGTGAGCTTTGGGGATGAAGAAAGCCCGCCGACCTCACAAAAGCCGCAACGCCAAAAGAGCCCGGACGTCCTAAGAATTTTGGGTTCAAGGGGTTGCTGTTAAGGGCCTTAGTTTGTTGACAGGAAACCAAATTAGGCTGTAGAGGGCTTAGTTTGGGTTAGGGTACTTAAGATGGCCCTAAACCCTAAACCCTAAACCCTAAACCCTAAACCCTAAACCCTAAACCCTAAACCCTAAACCCTAAACCCTAAACCCTGGCCTTTAGTGTTGAAGCTTAGCTTAGCTTCTCTGGCAAACCATGAACCACACTTAGAGGTCCCTTTTGGGGGTTTAGGGTTTAGGGTTTAGGGTTGAGGGTTTAGGGTCTAGGGTTTAGGACATAGGGTACTTATGACCCCAATCAGAAGTCAACTTTAAAACCCATATAAGGGGGCTTAGGGGGCTTGTAAGTACACTAAACATTGGGGTTATAAGTGCCCTTGAACTTCCAAGTACAGCCAACGCCATCAGCTCCAAATTCTGGGGTTCTTAAGGGAGGGGGGTTCATGGGGGGGGGGTAGGTACAACCCTAAGCCCTAAGCCCTAAGCCCTAAGCCCTAAGCCCTAAACCCTAAACCCTAAACCAGGGAACCTTCGGGCGCCTGAGGGAGTATTGCGGACCTTGGGAACATACCTTTCCTTGAACCCCCCTCCCTTAAGAGCCCCTAAACCCTAAACCCTAAACCCTAAACCCTGAACCCTGAACCCTAAACCCTAAACCAGGGAACCTTCGGGCGCCTGAGGGAGTATTGCAGAGTATGAGGGAACCTCGGGTAACATACCTTTCCTTGAACCCCCCTCCCTTCAGAGCCCCTAAACCCTAAACCCTAAAACCCTAAACCCTAAACCCTAAACCCTAAAACCCTAAACCCTAAACCCTAAACCCTATGACCAACATTCAAACATCCCACGCCTCCACCTGCAAGCGATGCATAATTCCATCCTCCCATGTCTCCGCTTCGCCCTTCCTGACCTGAGGGTTTAGGGTTTAGGGTTTGGGGTTCAGGGTTTAGGGCTTAGGGTTTAAAGGTTTAGGGTTTAGGGTTTGGGGTTTAGGGTTTAGGGTTTAGGGCTTAGGGGGGACCTGAGCCTGATGGCATGGACACACCTATCAAAACACTCTGCAAGCGGCATTTCGGGGCTATTGGGGTTGAGGATGTAAAACGGCGCGTTTGACTTGATCACAGCTGGAATTTGGGGTCCGCAGCTCAAGTTGTACAGGGATGCAAGGGGACCCTAAACCCCAAACCCTAAACCCGAAACCCTAAACCCCCAACCCTAAACCCTAAACCCAAGATCGTTCCTGGAAAATGTGCGGACTCCTGCATTCCAAACGCAGGGCGAAGCCCGTAAAACCTGTCTGAGGCTGAAAGCCTAAGCTCTACTTGGAGGTTCATGGTACTTATGAACCAATTAGAACTGTACTTTCAACTTATAACCATACTTCTAAGCCCCCTAAGTGCCCTAGTATGGTTATACGGTGCTTACGAAGTACCATGAACCTCCAAGTAGCCTCCCCACAATCAGCCCTAGGACCCTGAACCCTGAACCACTATCCCTATGGGCCCTCAAACCCTTGCAGGTCTTATGGGGTTTAGGGTTTAGGGTGTAGGGTTTAGGGTTTAGGGTTTTGCGGTTTAGGGTTTAGGGTTTAGGGTTTCAAGGTTTCAAGGCTTCAAGGTTTCAAGGTTTACTGAGGGTTCTGGGGCTTAGGGAGATGCTGCAGGGTTCTGCTCGCTGGGTCTTCACGATTTCAGGGGACGGCCGGGCACTGGGCTTGAGTCTCCAAAAGGCCTACCGTGAACCCTAAACCCTAAACCCGAAACCCGCCCTGGGCGCCGGAATGCACCGATGCTCAGGGCACGGCGAACTTGAAGTCAAGCTGCTTCTTGGACCTCAGTTCAACCCTAAACCCTAAACCCTAACCCTAAACCCTAAACCCTAAACCCTCAGCCCTAAAACCCTAAATCCAAAAAACCTAATAGAGAATGCCGCATCAGAACCCCTTAGCCCCTAAGGCAGAGGGACTCGGGATTTAGGGTTAAGGCCTTTAAAGTTGAGTGTATGTGTGTGTGTGTATATGTAATATATATATATATATATATATATATATAAATTACATATATATATATATAACGCAAGCGCACACACACATGATAAACAAACAAACCTAAAACCTAACCCCTAAACCCTAAACTTATAACCTGGAATTGTGGTAATGGCTGGGGCCGATGTCAGGAAATATTTATGTGATTTAAGTGTGTTTTTTTTCGTTGCTTGGCATGTGTGAAAAGTCTGTACCTGTGCCTGCATGGGGTTTTGAATCTGTGAAAAATGTGTGAAAATGTGTGAAACATCTGTGAAAAAATTGTGAAAATCTGTGAAAAACTGTGCCTCCCCCTTGTCCGACTCCCCCACACGCTCCCCCCCACCGCCCCCACAAAAAGGGAGCAGGTCACAAAAAAAAAAAATAGCACAGATTTATCACAGAGTCAATTGTGGCCACCTAGCAATTCGCAGATAAATCACAGATGCAAAAGACAAAAACAACACAAATAAAACACAAAAAACAGTAATTCCAGAAATCCAGGCTTTACCACGAAATCCAGGTTACAACCCTAAACCCTGAACCCTACACCCCCAACCCGAGGTGTAGTATAAAACCCTCAGGGCACGGCCGATCCAAGGGTATCTCGATAGGCTCTTTGGTTTCCCAGGCCTGGAAAGGGCTCTCAGGTTTAGGGTTTAGGGTTTAGGGTTTAGGGTTTAGGGTTTAGGGTTTAGGGTTTAGAGTTTAGGGCTGAGGCTTTTGTTTTTTTTTTTTCAGTGGGGAGGGGGGGGGGGGGTCAGGCGGTGCTTTGTGGCTTTAGGGGGGTTGCAGGGCATCCATGTTGCCCACATACTTTCAAGATCTATAAGCCCTAAACCCTGAACCCTAAACCCCAAACCCGAGCCCTGACAAGGGTGCAGGAATCAATGGGTTTCGAGTTTAGGAAAGCCTAAACCCTAAACCCTAAACCCTAAACCCTAAACCCTAAACCCTAAACCCTAAACCCTAAACCCTAAACCCTAAACCCTAAACCCTAAACCCTAAACGGGCTTCGGGTTTCGAGGGGGTTGCGAGGTTGAGAGATGAAGGCCGCTCCCGAGGGGCTCCGGCGCGGATTGCTGCCTCCGACCAGCGCTGTGTTCAGGCCAGGCACAAACCCTAGCCCTAAACCCTAAACCCTAAACCCTAAACCCTAAACCCTAAAAGCACTACATCCCCAGAAAAAAAAAAAACAGAGTGTCAAGGGACTAAAGAAGTGACCCTTACAAGGGACGTTAGGGGTCATTTGGGGGGGGGGGGGGGTATTGAGGGGCTACTTTAGGTATATAGGGACCATATAAGGTATGGTATAACATGTGTATATTGTAAAATATAATATATATATATATATATATATATATATATATATATAGAATCAGAATGTTTATAATATTATGTGTATGTTGTTCGTCTACATATGCTACAAATAGCTCCAGAAATATATATATATATATACATATATTACAGGGGTTATATAGGGGAACAAGACTAAGGGTAACTTAGAAGGTCCCTCCTTTTGCCCCTTAACACAGTGCTTACAGGGTCTGGAGATGCATCACCCTCAGCGTCCACCAAAAACGGCAAAAAAAAAAAAAAACTTAAAGCCCTAACAGCCCTTCAATTCAAACCCGCAATAACACATCGAACCCTTATATACAACCCTAAACCCCTCAACGACAAAAATGACCCTAAAGCCATGTGAGTTCAAGAGCGCGCCTCCCCCGTCCAATCCAACGTGGGAGCTTTGCTTGGATCCCACCAGCCCATCTCCTGTGTGTGTGCTTTTTCTATTTATTATTTT